GGGTCCTCCCATGGTCCTCTCCCTGCTTCTAGTACTTACTTGCTCAGAGTCAGCTGCAGCTCCCTGCTGCAGCCTCCGGGGACTGCCCGAATCCTCAAACCTCTGAAACTTTTCAAAGCTCTCCAAATCTTCGGAATAGATTCAGACCTTTAAATTGGTCCCCTGATTCAGTTCAGATTTGGAGGTTCGGCCACCGAATTGGGCCGAGTCTCCTCCGAATCTAATCACCGCCTGAAGCTTCGCATAGCCCTAGTAGTTGTTACCCAGCATAACCAGTTATTAAATTGCGTATTATAAGCAGGAGGACACAACTAAGGGTTAAATACATACAGAGATGGATCCCGTTCATGTGGCTTCTGTGCTTCAAATGCATTGCTTTCCTGCAGTGTTAAAGAAATACCTTGTTTATTTCTCAAGTCACACAAAGTCTGACAGGCATACAGAGTTAATTTCCGCCGTTCACGTGAATATGTGACAAGATGACAGCTTTTGACACACTGTTTGATTGACCTAGAAAATTCTGAGAGAAGGAAAAGTGCTTAATTTACTTTGATATAATTCTAAATTTTCAGGTACTGGGAAACTGTTTGCTGAGAACAACATCAGTTTGAAGATTTTCTAATTATGTGTCCTGCAATCAATTCTTCTCTGGCAACAGTCGTTTCTTTTGGCCATAAGGGAAGGTACCATTGAAATGAAACTGCTTGGGTTGGACCGCAGCCCATTACACAGTGTTGCGCAGAGATACCTAGAGGCAGTATTGTTACCTTTGTGTGGGCAGTTTGCCTGGGCTAATTAGCCCTGAGAAGAATTATATAATCATACAGAGCTAGTTCTGGTGTCCTTGGTGCCCTGCAGAGATATCCTTTGTGGGAGAGGGTCACTCTTAACAATTTCAGAACCGGAGAACCATTTTAGAGGCGGTACAAAGCATTTCAAACAACTTGAACAGGCAGCTTTTTGTTTCAAAATTTAAGATATTTATTTTAATATAAAAGGAATGGATTGTACCAGAACCATATTTATAACTTTTTTTTTCAAACCTTTCATATTTCAACTTTTTGTTCTGAATCAGGACAGTGGAAATTTTTAAAAAAAATTACTGGAAAGAAAATATTGGTTTCTGTCCAGCTCTCTAACTTAAAGTGGGTTTGCTTAGGGACAGAAATTACGTACAAACTGGTGCAAGTGATCAGAAACTGGTTCAAATCTGTAACACAACAGAAGTTCAGCACATATAAACCACTTTCAAAATGGCTGAAACCGGTTTAAGATAAACCTGGATGGATGTAGGCTGCTCGCCTTGGCCCAAGCTGTCTGCTTCAGCCAAGCAGGAAGATGTAGTCTAGCACCCCCTGCCATCTGGCCTGGGTCACTGAAGGGATGTGGCTGCCTTTCCAGAATTGGAAGTGAATGTCTGTTCATTTGCTTATTTGTTCAATCTATGCATTTTAGACAAAACTTTGAAGACTGAATTGAGTCAATCTTGGGCTTTTGGAATGTCTCTACTTAACCTTTATGTGTGCCCCATCTTTGGTCATTCCTGAACTCTACCACACTGTTCCTATATGTAACTTAGAGCC